GCTGGTGAAATAGCGGCCGCTTTCTGCTTAGCAGGTGTGGCCTAGGCGAAGTGCTTGGTGTGCTGTGATGTATAGATTTGAAAAAAAAAAATGCTTTAAAGAATCTGCTAGAACAATGCACTTTGAGTTTCTGAAGTCTGTGGATTCCTTAACGTGTGCCTCTATCTCTGTTAGACATGCAAAAGCTTTTAGGGCTCCATGTGAAGCTGAGGCTGGGATTTCTGCACCGTGTATCAGCTGCTGGGAGTCCTGCAAGTCCTTTAGTACAACTGTAGCACATGGGGACTGAATGCAGATTAATTTCAGTCCTGGTGTAGCAAAATCTTCAGCGTCTGTCTTTTGCATGAAATCAAGAACATAGCGTAGCGTTTGGCCAGCTTCTTAAAACCTTAGTTCTCTGTCTTTGTTTTCTTAAGCTGTATTTCTTGTTTTGCATAGTTTCCCCACAGCGGTATCTTCAACAGCAGCCGGGGTAGATACCAGCTGTGGATTTCTTTATTCCATATGTTCTTGTCCTCTGTGGATGAGGTCATGGCTAATCTCTATGGGGTACACTTGACATATTCATACACAGTGTCTTCAGAAGTGATGTGTTACCAATGTTAGTTGTGGCTGACTGCTTTACATGGTGGTACAGCTTCATAATTTGGAAGACACTGTGAGACTTGTATAATGTTTACTTAGCGGTAATGTGCTTCCTTGTTTGCTTGTGGGGGGGAAGTGCAAGGCTAATCTGGAGAATGAATGCAGAATTTCTGAGGAAAAAAATATGGACATGCCCAAAAATAATCCATGTAACAGCTTAAAATAGTCGAAAGATTTGGAATCTTTGTTGAAACTTTCTTCTTTCTCTGTCCTCCTTCCTCGAGAGCCAAAAATCAAGAATGATTATAGTGTGGAGTTATTAAAAACAAAAAAAATTTCTTTCTCGTTTCAGCAATTAATGCAAATGTGTGCTTGGCAGGACCATTCGGTCTTAGTTTGACCACCTTGTTGGTCATCCGCTTCTGCCTTCCTGTGAGAATGTGAAGTAGATATAACTAGGTTTCAGTTAGTTATATACGTATTTGTGGATTGAACTGGGGCCACTTACTATCTGAACAAATACAAAGTCAATTTAGTCTTGTGTGAATCGCTGTTTTATAGCTCAGAATTGCATCATGTCTTTGCTTGGTTTGTATGGGTAAGCAGAAAGTCACTCAATGTTCCTACTGCTAGGCAGCAGCATTCAGATCAAACTTTCTTCTAGACTTTTTGATATTAATGCTACATTTCAAACTTCAGGTCCCCAGCATGTCCTGAAATGTGTTCTTACTCAATTTTTGAGGTTAAATTGGTGAAGTGAGAATGACTGTTTCATGTATACCAAATCCATCTAGTTGAAGGGGATGCTTTTGCTTGAGAACATAGCATAATTTCTCCAAAAAACCCCAAAATCACACTGAATTAGTGAAGTGTCATCTGCTCTAGTACATCAAAGCAGATTAGCGCCTAATTATCAGGAGAAAATGTGGGGTTTTGTGCTAATCTTGTCGAGTTTCCCATAGAGCTGCTAATGTGTTTTGCAGCTTCTTTTAAGAAAGGTTTGTGCAAGGTCAAAGGATGGTCTCTCCTAGTTCCTTGTGTTCGGTGCTGGTCAAAAGTTCGTGCCTAGGGAATGCTGTTGTAAGGCGAGGACAAACATTTAATGCCCATAATGGATTGGTGCCTGGGGCAGTATTACAGGGTAAACTTCTAATATCCACTCTCTCTGGTGGCAGAGTTGTGTAGGTAGCATAGATTTTGTAAAGAACAACAGTCTCTTGAACCTGCTAGCGCTGTCTTCATTTGCTAAGAGAACTATGGGGCTTAGGAAGAGGCAGCAAACGGAAGTCCCTATTCCCCTTCACCAACCTGGGGGATGCTCTAAGCCTTGTATTATACAACCCTTGTTGTTGTTTCTTTGCACCATACTTTGCTCTGTTATTCCTCCTTCTGATCATCCTTGTTACTGCTGTTGATGCAGTAAGTTATAGTGGGTATAAAGCAATACATAGTTTTTGGCATAATATCGGAAATCCTAAACAAGATGGAATAAATTTGTTAATAAAATTTTTTTTTTGAAGTGTAGTTTGAAAATGATTAATTTTTTCTAAAGTGAAATCAGTGGTTGGAAAATTTGCAGTGACAGAAACCAAAGTTGTGTTTGGTTTTAAAACAAACAGTAACATTTTAAATATTCGTTAGTATTGTAGTGTAGTGGTAATAATGATAATGACACTGTGGGTTTTTTTATGAACATTATATTTTGTGAGAGCTGTTGCTGCTTGTTGCTGACCTGATTTCAACTATTTGCTAGATGAACTGTCTTCTGTCATCGCTGTTTCTTGGGTCTCTAATACATAATGGCTTTGAAACTTCATGGAAGCACAGATGTTTTTCTCCCAGTGTATAGTATACAGCTGCAACTAAACACCACATTTAAAATGGAGTGTTCGCTGTGTAGTAACTTAATCTAATTCTTGTTATTTCAGAGTTTTCTTGGAGGCTTTTTCAGTCCTGATTGTGAGATTAATGTTATTCTTAATGATGCTGAAACACGAAAAACAGCAGAAATCAAAACAGAAGATGGTAAAGTAGAAAAGCATTTTCTCTTCTATGATGGAGAATCTGTTTCGGGAAAGGTAATTTTTTTTTTCAAGTGACTATATTCTGTACTGATTCTGGTATGCAGATGTATATAGGAAGTTAAATGAAAAACTGATACAAGCAAGAGCTGCAATTTCAGCTTGTGTTGTTATTCAAAGAGGAAGCAGTGTGTGGTCATTTATCAGTTGCCTGAATGACTACGGTTAAAACTGAATGTTTTGAACAGTAGGTGTTTATTTCTTTACAGTCATCTTGTATTTATGAATAAGCTTTTTGTGTAGCCATATGCAATCCTATCATTGTGTCTGACAAGAAAACTGTTCCCAACTGGATCCCTTGGCTTCCCCTTCCCCTTGAACTCCAAAATCCACAACCTGACACATGTAACAGTAATTTTTGGCTGGTGCAGCAAACCTGCTTTGCATGCCCTGAAGCTAAGGCTTATGTTTCATACCCTGAAGTGGTTTCTGGAATTGCATCAGAGGAGCAACATACTAAGTTCAGCTGGCCGCTGAGTCAACAAGAGGAGTTCTTCTTGGAAAAAACATGAAGTTGAGATTGCTAGAGGGATTCCTCTACTTTTGGTATTGCACTTAGGAGCTCCTTGCCATCACTCTGGTTTTACTGGAGCTATTCTCATTCTCTGAATATTTCTGTTACGATTTGCTTTTCCTCCAAGAAACTTGAGCTAGGTATTGGGTTCTGAGACTAACTTTTAAATACCTACTTTGATCTTGACCAACCTGTTGTCGCTGGGTATCTTCCTGCTCTTAAGATATCTTTCCATGCTAAGATCTTTCTTCTCTAGAAAGATCCTTTCATGGATGTGAAACTCTGACAAGATGGGCCGCAAAGTCAGGAAACTGAGGGCACTAGTGTTTGTATGTTCACTGGCCTGAGCATTTCTTGCTGAGCCATGCCTGAGTTGCCTGATGGGTTTTGGCTAACACAAGCACAGTGGGGTGAGGAGGTTTGGAAGACCACTAATTTACTGGACAACTTCCCCCTACCTCTCTCCTTTTCAGTGCAGATTATGCAAGTATTGTCCTACTTGGATATCAATGAGGTACTGGATTTTAAGGTACAGGAATTTCTCTGGACATCACTACCCCATAAGGAAACATATATGCTTAATATTTACATGTTTCCATAGAAAATAACCTTATGGTTTTCTTGTGAAGCAAGGTCTGATAGTGGGAATCAAATTCACAAATGCAGATCTTGATAGTAGGTTTCATTATCTGTTATTTTTCATTGACTTCTTTAACACCAGTACTTAGCTATCTGCTGAGGAAGGGACTTAAGTCACTTGAATTGAAAGGAATGCATCTCATGGCAGTTCTTTTTTGGGCTTCCAAATGTGACTATCAGAAGATGCTTTGAAGTTGTCTACCTTCAAAGATGGCAAGGGAGTCACAACTGGCTTATGCGAATTCTACTGAAGCTCTGCCTTAGATTCTTAATTCTGGGACTTGAAGGTTTTAAGCTTACCTACTAAATTCAGTCTCGTGGATGATTAAGTTTTTCTTAAATGCTTTAGTAGCACCTGGGTAATGCTTAATTTCATAATCAGCTGTTTGATTTGGTTGCCTTCAAGGTCAGATAGTGCTGTTGAGAAGAGGTCTCTTGTTTTCATAGGCACGTAGTAATGTAGTGTCCTTTTTTACTAAGATCATGTATTAGAGTGAAAGTGTTGAAAAGTTTTAACTGGTGTGGTTTTTTTTTTGCCTTGGTAGGTGAAAGTCTCCTTTAAGCAGCATGGGAAGAGACTAGAGCACCAAGGAATTAGAATTGAATTTGTAGGACAAATTGGTGAGTTTTGAAGCTATAAAAGGGATGTTAGGTACGTGGGGTTTATGAAACTTTGCACTTGCAACCGTCAGCAGTTTGGCTCCAAGATTGCAACCTGATCGGGTTAGTGGATGACAAGTGCCAAAGGAAGATTATATTCTACTCATTTTAACGCAAGTCATGTACTAATTTGTGCTAGTCAGAAAATTGTTGGGAGGGAAGATACATACATGTGAGGGAGAACTGGGATGGTAAGTATCCCATCTGTCTCAGACCGGTTAAGAGTTTAAGAACCACTGGTGACTTCTAAAAACTAAACTTGTGACCGTGGTACGCGTGGTTTCTGCTTCATATACTTCAGACTATTAATTTTTAACTTAACACATGTCTTCCCTCTTGACTATAAATGATGAATGACCCTGATGTAAAAAAGTGAAATAAAAGCACTTTTTTTTTTTTCCTGCTTGTGCCTTGTTTTGCATGTATTTTAGGTTCCAAGCCAAAATATCAGGTGTTACCTACTGTGCCAGACTTCTTAATTCTGGTCTTTAATTCTGGTTCTGCATAGAAAAGAAATGATAGGGCAGCCTATAGGAAAACGCTTCTAAAATAACTCTTTTGTTGTTGGTTTTCTAAAACATAGTTTAATACTGTTAACATAAAATACTATTGAAGCTTCAGAGGGTCTGTGCTTTTTAGCAAGATAATGTGGTATTGACATTAAAAACGTAATTTCCTTATAACTGTATCTAAGCCTGGTTAGATTTGAACTGTAAAGAATCTTGATCATGTCTAACTTCTTACCACTCAGGGTAACCTCTGCACCCATAGGCTGATGCTAAAATTCCTTCCTTCTGTTAGAGAGCTGTTTGCATTATTGTCCCCCTTGGAAGTAAATCTTCATGTTTCAGCTTCATACAATTGACTTTGATTAGAATTTCCCAAGTTCTCTATTTCTGATCAATCAGTAGGCTCTGAATCCTACGTCTGAACTGTTATGTAGCAGGTATGACTGAGTTCTGACACCTGCTGCTTCATACTTTGAAGTTTTTATCAGTGGAGCTGTAAAAGCAAACTTTTGGAGTAAAGCAGCAGTATGATGGGAACGAGGCATTTAGAGATAGGGGAAAAAATCAAGCTCACGTATGTCAGCTTCACTTAGTCTGTTGTCCTCTAATAGCTGTACAGGCTGTTTGTTCTTCATCTACTCTGCATAAATTTTATTCTCTGAATGACTGTAATTTGATGTAGTGTTACTTGAATTTTGTGTGTTTCTGGAACTTTCTGTTGTGCTACCATTTAGAAATCTTCAGAGTTATGCAGAAGTGGTTTAAGCTGCTGCTTTTTGTACTTGTCCGTGTTTTCTTTCATCCTTTCAAGTTCTAATATGGTAATACAAAAAGCATCCCAGTGTGATCTGTCTCTGCACTACTTGGAGACTAACTCCAGCTGCATGTCAAAGACATATTTTAAACCAGCCCTTCAGAATACAACTTTTCCGACTGGCACAAGAAGTATTGGATATGCAACACTAAATATATTTTATATTATATAGATACTTGTCATAGCAAACAAAGTACACCTTAGATAATTAGTAGTTGTATTAGAAAATAAGCAGTTACTAGTTAGTGTCAGTTTTGGCAAAATTGGCAATGATAAACTGTGGAGCTGCTGTGTTTAGTTAATTTTTTTTTTTCTTTTCTGCAAAGCTTCAGTCTGTGTAAAACCAGCTACCACTAATGTTCTTAGCTGATATTGTCAGTTGTGAATTGTAGAGAAGCTTCTCTTTATATACTGAAGTGTTTGGATTTTTGTATGGTAATGTTAATTTTTTTCTATCTTTCTAAGTTCTTATCTTGGTGAGAATTGCATGACATAGATGTAGGGGTGAATAACAATGACACTGGTCTGGGGAGATACTGTTGCTGTAAACCTGGTGCATCTATGCTTATGTATTAAGAACTTGTTTCTAAATGACTGATTATGACCAGTGGTCATAATAAGCCATTTGATTGTAGACTAGTAGTAATAATAAACCATTCGATAGATGTTGTTAATCTGTAGGAGACCAGTTGGGATCATTGGCCTGTCCTAAATGAGCCAGTCTTGATGTTGCTTAGGTTTTTGTCCTTTCAGCAATAAATGCTGGAAGCCAAAATCGGGCAATGCTAATTACAGAGAATGCAAGGCAAAGAAGTACTTATTAAAGCTAGCTAAACTGTCATTAAAAAAAGATGCCATACTAGTGAAGCTTCATTTATGTGTTCTGTTCATGGCAGTTAGCTCTTTAGGAGTCTTTACTGTAAGTTGCTGAAACTGCAGGTAACTTTGGAAAACTGGATAAAACAGTTGGTCAAATAAATGTAATTTAAATCAAATTAATTGCTTTTGTTTTCCTCTCCCACCTGTTCCTGCCAAATTAGAGACAGCTTTGTTTGCTGAAAATAAACACTGAAACATGTTTTCCTTTAAATTCCTCAACTTTAGAACTCTTCAATGACAAAAGCAATACCCATGAATTTGTAAACTTAGTGAAAGAACTGGCCTTACCTGGAGAACTGACCCAAAGCAGAAGCTATGACTTTGAATTCATGCAGGTTGAGAAGCCATATGAATCCTACATTGGTGCCAACGTCAGACTGAGGTTTGTAACTGTTAAGCCTTCTCTGTCCTCCTCCGCTGCAGGAAATCCATGATTTATCACTCATGCTGCCCGTTCCCCCTGCTTCCTCATTTTGGATTTAAAATCAGACAAGTAACAGCCAGTAGCTAGTGTGCCTTGATTGGAGTTGTTGAGATCATGTTATAATGTAGCCTTTTCTATTTTATTTGGAATTGCTTAGTGTTGGTTGCATAGGTAAAATTCTTCTTCAATCAAGTGAAGACAGTCCATGTCTCTTCTTAAAATAAAAAAAAACCCCACAAACAAAAAAACCCAACCCCAAATCCAAACCAACAAATCCCTCCCCCAGCCAAGCAAAACACCCCGCACATTTCTATGTATAAGTGTTTTGTCTTGTATTTTGGTGGTGTCGTCTTTTCTGCTTAGTCTTAAGAGAATGTATTCTTGTTTTTCGAAGAATACCTGTACTTCAGAACATAAGGGCTTTTACATATGCAATTCTGAGTAATTATGGCTAACTTGGTGGCTTTCTTCCTAGGTATTTTCTAAAAGTGACAATAGTGAGACGGCTGTCAGACTTGGTGAAAGATTATGATCTGATTGTTCACCAGCTTGCTACTTACCCAGATGTAAACAACTCCATTAAAATGGAAGTAGGCATTGAAGACTGTCTTCATATAGAGTTTGAATACAATAAGTCAAAGTAAGTGTCACTTAGAACAAAACACATTCAAGTAAATAACTTGGAATAAAAAGGTAGAGTATGTAATATTTGATGAGCAACCTGGCATCTGGAGACTTAAAATGTAAAGCAACATGTTCAATGATTATTTTGTTGAGCTGTTTGGTTACTAATTAGCCAATGGCCTTTTTTGAGGAATACTTGTCTGTTCTGCCTTCAGGACTAATAGGAAGGTCACTAGCAAATATTTAAGACTTGTTTTCTGCATTTATGCTTTTTCTATATAACAGTAGTATTCCCCTTACTAATACTGCAATGATGGAAAGGTGATAATTGCACTGGTCTGGCTGAGATGCTTAGCTCAGTGGGCAAGTAAGCTCTAAGTCATTAACAGGCAGATAAGGTAACTGCCTGTATAACATGTATTCAAGAAGCTGTACAAGTTGTGTTTACTCTTTAATGAAAACCCCCACTCTCTTCTTTTAAAGGTATCACTTAAAGGATGTGATTGTTGGAAAAATTTATTTCCTCTTAGTGAGAATAAAAATTCAGCACATGGAGTTGCAGCTGATCAAAAAGGAGATCACCGGAATTGGTAAGAGAAAGTCCAGAAGAAATGGCAACTTGTATGCTGGTTGAGCCTTATGCAAACCTTGCAGCTTTGGCTAAACCAATGTTCCATGTGCTTCTTTCTCCTTGGTGTTTGACTACCATTTGCATTTTGTGCTTTGGTAATCATACTTAGTAGTCAACCTTGTCAGTCTGTAGCATTGCTCTGGGATTGTGACTGTTGGGCTAGCTTCACAAACGTGAACCATTTTAAATGGAACTTGGGCATAAATACACAGCAGCTTAATCAGCCTTGGTAGATAATGAACAAGAGAAAAGGTATAAAATGCATCCTGAAGACCCCCTTGTTTCTGCAGAGATTAGCTGGTAAAGTGGGCTTGGTAAAGATTAGCATGAATCTGTCATGTTCTAGAAATGTGTCATTTTCAGTCAGCCTAAAACTGATATGATGGAAATATCAAGAGGCTTTGAAGCAGAAACAACTTGATTATTGCAGATCAGGCTTGTACACACTGGAAGTAGGAAGGCAGCAAGAGGCTCTGGATCACAACTTTATTCCCCAGTGGCTGGGGCCCTAGTGAGCTGCTTGTGTGGAGAATGAGAAAGCCTCCATAGCAATAAAGGAAGGGCAGAAAGCTCTACTTCATTCTTTGCTTTAGTGACTAAATTAGGTATTCTTGTTTCTTCATCCTAGGCTGTGGAGGAAGGCGGCTCTTGTGCTGGGTGATAGCCCTTCAGGTTTCTAGTCCCATCATGGCATAGCAGTATCTGTCATTGGCACTGCCCACCAAACAGAACTGTTTCACAAGTCCTATGCTGCATGCTTGTCCCTTATTTAAAGCCTGTGTAGCCAGGGCTCCTTTGAAGTGCTGGCTACTGCCTCTTCTGTGGCAGCGTGGGGAGGAGAGAGCAAGAATTAGATGCTCTGCCTGGGAAAGGGTTTTGCTTGCTTTAGCTGTTTGTAACTTATATGCAAGACAAAGGCAAAAAGTGCAGTGTTGTGTAATTTTAATAGTGCAGGGTAGAAATTGCTGTGATAAAGCTTTGTAACAGTGTTTAAAACTGAAGTTTATGTTCTCACGGCAAAAACTTGTTTCACTAGGACCCAGTACCACAACAGAGACTGAAACCATTGCAAAATATGAAATAATGGATGGTGCACCAGTTAAAGGTAAATAACTATGCTTGTTTTAAAAGGTAAACATTTTGATTTAAAACTATATTTAAAAAAAAATCTGGAGAAGACTTGTATAACTTTTTCTTGGAGAAACCACACTTCTCCTTAGGTTGCTGAAATGATAGTAGATTTTCCTATTGAAAGCAGAAATTTGTATTGACTTGGGGCATTTCACTTGGGATCCTAGTAATTCTTACCCTTATTTACCATTGGAAATTCTATGACTGAACTTTTTATCACTTCAAACCTGAGTCCATGGTGTAAACGAGCTCTAGAGAGTTCAAGATACTGATCCTTTTGTCTTGTCTGGCTACCATGCTTCCACTGAGAAAGTGTTCCCACTTTTGATTTCACACTTGCCTCTGTGCTCAGTGTTACGTTTGTGATGTTTTTTGTGTGTGTCTTTTTTTCTTCTTTAACCAAGGGAGGGACACAGACAGTGCTTGGGGAAACTGCCTTTATTTTGCATATCTTCTGAAACTGCATTAATGACATCTGGTTTTAAGGAACTAATTGAAACTTTCTTTTTTAAGGTGAATCGATTCCTATAAGACTGTTTTTAGCAGGCTATGACCCAACTCCAACAATGAGGGATGTGAACAAAAAATTTTCAGTGAGGTACTTCTTAAATCTAGTGCTTGTGGATGAGGAAGACAGACGATACTTCAAACAGCAGGTATGATTTATAAGAATGTCTTTGCATAATTATCTGGCCTGTTGTACATGCTGCTTTGAATGTTCAGCACATTAGAAGCCACCTGTGCTTTATGTATGGCATAAGCATTTCTGCTGGTGAGTGTATTGGACGCTGTATAGAAGATGTTACCTTGCAAAAGGGAGTTAAGGGGGATGAGGGATACTATTTCAGTAAGGATAGGACGCTCAGTGCCATAGAACAAACTTGCATTGTGACATCCAGACAAAAATGAACTACAGGTGCATTTGTTTGCTTGCTTTCTTAAATTACTGCAGCTAGATTTCTCCTCCCAGCACTAGCCCAGGTTCAAAATTGCAAAACTGTGATAAGGGCTAAGACATTTGACTGAAAACCTAAAAAACGTTGAGGTCTTGCTGAGGAAATGAATAGCCAAAAGGGTCACTGGAATGAAGCTATGTGGGTTAGATCAGAATCTTCCTTTTAAAGAACAGACAAGGCATATGGTTAAACGTGGACAACAAAAGGTAACTGGAGCATACAGTGGCTATGATGTGCTTTGGATTTTGAGAAAAGGAGGAAGAAAAACTTCTTGAACCCTTCAATACTCTCAAAGTTGCTAGTAGGATTGTTAAGGAAGAGGTGACTGCTCAAGATTTGATTAAGGTAAGTGTTCAGGCAGTAACTAAATATGTAAATGTAATTGTGTTGTCTTTCTGTTACTTTACATATGTACTGCACTGTTCTGTAAGTAATGGGGATGCATTTTTTGTGACACTCTTTTCCCCCAAAAAGTCTTTGCCTATGGGGAACTTAAGATACTTGATGCTGCTGGCTTAATGGTAAATGGTGTTTTAAAAGTGTTTGCTTCCTCAAATAGGAAATAATTTTATGGAGAAAAGCTCCCGAGAAGTTGAGGAAACAACGAACAAACTTTCACCAGCAATTTGAATCTCCAGAATCACAAGCATCTGCTGAGCAACCTGAAATGTGAACTGGTATAAGGTGAAAAACTTTGCGATGCTTCAGCAGGTTAACGATGGCAGCAGCCTGTGGGAAAAGAAGGCCAAAATTCCCATTACAACTGTCTTCCTTCATCTTGCAGTGCTGCATTTACCATACTACTAAAGCGTTCTTCAGTTAAACATTCAAGTATGTATATACATTTAAAATAAAGTGCTTTCTCAAACACTGGAACTTTCTTAAGCTACTATTTTATACTGCACATTTACTTTTATTTGATAATGTTATATGCACTTAGATATGCATAAGCTTAAATCTAGTTATTTCCATGCATGGTAGGCTGGTAAATTTGATTTTTTGCTGATCACCTATACAGTATAGACTAAAGCATTTCCCTTCTGTTATGTTTATTGCATGTTTCTTTCCAATGTTGCTTATTTGCATTTGTTTTGAAACTACAGTAAGATACAATTGACTAAATCACACTAAAAATCAAGGTTTATGGTGAATTTGTCCTAAGACTAATTCCTGTGTTTAGACAGGGTTTAACTGAAACTGCATGTCGGTGCACTATGACTGTGACAACTGTGGAGCCATCAGATACCTTAGCAAGGTTTCTAAGAAGCTTTGAATCTGTCAGTAGCAAAGAATGTTAGGAAGCATCTTTGCCCTCCCTCCCTCAACTCTCTCTTTACCGTACTTCTCTAACCCTACCGTGCGAGTCACTCTTGACTGTGGGGGTTTGTTGCCCAGTAACTAGTGACTGTAGAGATGTTGTCATGATTTCACCTTCAGGTGGTAAGCAGGTAAAGTATTTGAACATAATTATCTCTTATTGATGAAATAAATGCTGGCAACCATATTGATTATTTTGCAAATCCATGAAACTACGTGGTTCCTCCTGGCTTCATGCTTCCACTGCCTTCACAGTCTTGTCTCCTCGCTGTCCTGACATGAGGGGCAAAATGTCCTCGAAGGACATAGTCCTCCCAGTCCATCTGGGCCTGTTATGAGGGCAAACAAGCTTTTTGTGGTCTCCTGGAAAGGTATTTTGAAGCCAGGCAAGCCCTGAAACTGTTAGAAGCTTGTCTGGCACAGCAGATTGTTTGTCTTAATCATCTCTTATGCATTTAGTGTTTGAAGAAATAGCTTAAAGGAGTTAGCCTTCATCTATTCATAACTGAGCATGTAGTCTGTTATCAGACGCGTGGCTTGGGCATAAAACGAAGCCTGCTGTGTGGAAGGCTACTTGCGCTTGTAGTTCACTTTGGCCTTTAAGCCAAGACTTCTCAACTCTGGTGCAAGTGTCATTGGTAACCTTACTTTATGAGTAAGTAAATAACTGAATTACCTTTCTGTAAGAACTGTTTTATTACTGTGGCACTTTGATAAAGCAAAGACTCTGTGTACTTTATGCTAGGATACTTCTAATGCGGCTATCTTTGAAGGAGAGCAAATTTAACTCACTCATGTAAGTGCCTGTTCAGAAATTTAAAGAATAAAGTAAAAAGCCAAATATTTTCATGGTCACTTGCATGTTGTAATCTGGAAATTATTCCGAGAGATTTTGAAAACTTGATTGTATTTAACCAGCCTCAGATTGTGCAACCATGTATAATAAACGGGAAACATACTGAGCTGCTCTCTGAATTATTAAAATAGCTGTATTCTCACTAACGTCTGCGTCGTCTTTGTTGATTGGCTCTGCCCTTTGCTTCAGGGACAGGGGGACGGAGGCGCCCGGCCGCGGCGGCGTCGCTGACGGCATTTCTGCCTTGTAGCCCC